CTGAACAGTAAGTGCAAGAAAACTGTCATTGTGAACCCAAACCAAAAGCTTGGACTCTAAGCTTTTAGAGTCCATCCCACCTGCTTCTCCCTCTACTGCTCCTGTGTGGCTGACCATCCTTAAAACCAGCCCTTTGTGATACTGCTTAGTAGCTCTCTGGACATGGTGTCAACAGCTGGCTGGTGAGCAGAGCTGTACAGGGGACAGGATGACCCCTCCTCTCCTGCTGGCATCATAAAAGACCTGAAGGGCTGGGTTTGGGAATTTGGAATTTTTATTACCAACTCAGATTGTCTTCTGACCCATGAATGAACTCTGCACAAGAAAGTGGAAGAGACCCACCCCTGGTTACCATGCCCTCCTGATAAAAGGGTGCTATTTCCCGCAGCTTAAGCCCCAGAAGAGAAGTGCAGCATCCTGTGTGCTCACAAGTCCACAGCAGGAAGCACACATGGCTTGCCTTTGTCACCTATACTCTGTTCTCCATAGACAAGTCATAACACTGGAACACCCAACTCTAAAATTCAGTTTAGATTTTCATACTTATAAGGAAATTCAGATGAGTTACTCAGTGGACATATATATTTACTCAATTTTTGAATGATAATTTTTAACCAGCTCATGAAATAGTCTCTGATTTCTTGATATATACTTTTCCCAACTTCATATAATAGAAACAGGGCTTTTAATGGAGTATTTTCTTGAATATCGGATTATTAATCTGAACGTGTCATGCTGAGTTTACTGCAGACCACCGCCGCACTGAAGTCTGAGGGAAAGGCGGAGCAGTCACCGTGCACAAGGGTCTCATGGCAGCAGAGGGCACTGAGGAGGCTGTGGAGCAAAGCAGGGTCCAGCTCTTAATGGACCCACTTGCCTAGGCTGCCACTTGACCTGCTTTTTCTTTCCACAGTCAAGCTTATGCAGCTCCATTAAAAAGTAGGCTGTAGGTGAAAACCAGATACTACTTCTCAGCTGAGACTTCCATGGCAAATAAATTATGAAATTAAAAGAGATAAACTGTCTCACATGGATTGTGCAACTCATTTACAAGGAAACTGATTCATAGACTCACATTTTCACTCACAGCTATTTACATTCAATTATTCAGTCAATCTCATGAAGACAGAGTGACAAGAGTGAAGGATACACGTTCTCTGTTACCTTTCTGAATTTTTTGTTAATGTAACAAGAACAGCTACCTAGATATCAAGATGCAATCACCTTGAAATGAATATAAAAGATTTAGAAAAACATATATCCATCACAGCTATCCAAGTAGAACGTTAGTAACTCTCTGAACAAGCAGTGAGTCTAAATTAAATCAGAAGACAATCACATGAGTTAAGAGTGTGGGAGCGACAGATCATTGCAGAGAGCAGTCAGAGAGGTCTGAAAGCCTGACCAGATGACTGGCCCTAAAATAACCCACTTAGTTCCCTCTTGACCCTCAGCTGGTTTAGAAGTATGAGAAGCCTAAAGAAGTTCAGGCAATTGTCAGGAATCAATTAGAGGTCAAGTGAAAACCAGTCATGACTTCTAGGAGCCAGAAAGGCCAAGTATCTCCAAACATCTTGCCGCAGTCAGTGGCTGAACGTGGAACATCCAAGGTTAGACCCTGAATCTTGTTAAAAGGGAAAACCCCTTCCTAAATGACCACCTCTTCAGTGAAAACCTAATGGGTGCCAAAGACAGCTTCAGATGAGGTGCTGAGTGGAGTCCCCATCCTTACCTACCTACCCACTGTTTTGTGGGTCTAGTTAGACCCACATTCCATTAATGAGCAAACACAGAACGGCGATGCAAAACCTCTAAAATTTGTCCCGTGCATTGCAAACGGCAAAGGGTATGAGAAATCAATTCAAATTCCTTCCATTGCTGTGCCTTTTTCCTTTTGTAGTTCCAAGGTCTAAATAACTGCATAAAACAAATCAAGGGAAAATAAGGCCCAGCTGCCTGTGGCCTTTGTTGATGAATAGGGTGCTAAGTCAGTCACTCAGCTGTTTTATTACTTGTCTTTAAGGCTGATGAGTCCCAAGCAGACCTGCATCACTGAATTCTCAATAAAGGGTTAGTGCTTGTCCTGCAGAATAATAAGAACCGCTAATGACACCAATTAAGAGCTGTAAATGTCATTTATACTTGTTTGTTATTTTTCAAATCAATAAGACTGGAAAGACACAGCGGCCTGAGATAATTTAGATTGGAACCGTTTGTGGGGACATTTTAATGGATATATTGCAATCAGGATTCTTGTTCTCCTTTTGGAGACATTGGGTCTCCAATTCCCCTTTGGGTCAATTCCGATACTTATTGAAAGTGGTACTTACCTCCTAGATAATCAGACAGAGCAGAAACTATTTAAGACAATAAAAAAAGACAAGTATATACCTTTCATAATTTTGTTCATGAAATCCCTCGTTTGCAAATGCTCCTATTTTTATCTGTGAATATATCTTTAAGCCGAATAATGAATAATTTAAGAAAAATAAAAAGAAATTTAGAAAGAAATAAAACAATTAGCAATGCAGACTAAAGCAGTCTGTTCTGACTCTGTAGGAGTTGCAGGGATGCATGTGTTTATAAGATTCTTACTCTTTTGTGAAATGTCAGTGGTAGACTTGTAAGTAGTGCGTTCAAAAGATTGTGCAGGTAGTGCACGGGGTGTTGGTTTTGCTAGAATATGAGGCAGTTGGTCAGAACTCTAGAGATATGTGTTTCATTAATTTCAAAAGTAGCACAGGAGTCACCAAGGCCCTGTTCTAGCAGGAGAAAACTGTTAAACATTTCACCAAGGAGGCAGCAACCAGGGGCAGACAACGCATTCCCCATAAAACAACTGACTTGTAGCAATTACCGCAGCTAAAGGGACTTCTCACTATGAAGTCTGAGGATAGCTAACCAAGCTAGCTTTTGAGTTTTTCTTTCCCCTATTTTTTCAGTTTAAATTTCACAGTATTGAGTATGGGGTGTTCTTAAACTTTTTAATTATATTTTGGATGTTGACAAAGATTATAAGTGGCACATGGAATTTCAAATTGTCTATCCTAATTGTCTGCCTCTGTACTTCTTCCTCCCTGAGTAGGTTTTCTGCTTTGTTTGAAAAGTCAGATTTACGTGCTTAACCTTGTGAAGGTTTGTTTTTAATTACTTTGAAAAAGATGGTAAAATTGCCAACCTCAGAAAAAAGCTTAAAAGTACAATTTGGGAAACTATATTCTTTAATAAATCAATGATTGTTTTGTGTAAATGTCTAGCTGACATTAAAATAGTTAAAAAGTTTAAATCTTTTAACTTAAAACTTTTAAAACTTAAAACTTTTAACTTACGCTCAATTTATTGTGGCTACATAGCACTCATCCAGTTTGATTTTTTACACTGAGGATAAGCATGACTAGCTGAAGCTGTAAATGCAAACTATTTAAAAAATTAAGTTAACTAACTTTTAAAAGCAAACTATAGTGATGTAGTGCAAAAAAAATTAAAGGGTATAGCAACTATATAATATCCATATATGTTCTCTGGTTGATTCATTGGTACATATATTGTTGGCTTTTTGTGAGTTTCAACAATGTGATATCATGGATACAAGAAATAAAGGGAAAAAGAACCAAAAACAGATTTTGCATCTGTCTCTGCTATGCTGCTGCCCACATTTGGCTAGTAGACATTTGATACAAGCCTTGATCTCCAGCATTCTCATGCTTGTGTTTGTTTTGAATGATGTGACTCTCATACCCATAAATTGTCTCTGACTTACTTCCACACTCCCAGTCCTACTCTCCCTTTATAGTCTACCAATTTTCTCATTTAACCAAATTTATTGACTTATTGTCGTCCAAATATTTCTCACACTTTCTTCCATGTCACTGCCTCCATCTAGAATTTATTCTCATTTGCCTTATCTCCAGCTATGGAAATCCTACTGTTCTCCAGAGACCAAACATATTTGAGCCCTTTTATGAGGCGTTACCTGATCTACCCAGTTGAGAATAGTGTCTCATTCACTCATTTATTCACTCATTCAACACAAATGTGTACCACACATTGGGGTGGGATCTGCTCTTTCTTGTGAAATAGTAGTTACAGTAGTTCTTTCTTTGTTAGGATCTGCCCTTTCTTAGTCAATACCAGTTCCTTCTTTGGATCACTCCCATAACATGTGCTGCATTTTGACTGAGGTTATGATGACTTGTGTATGGAGTTCATCTCAGCATAGCAGGGTAAGTTCCTTGAGGGACGAGACCTTGCTTTGCTCCTCTTTGAATTTGCTGCACTACTAACAATGGCAGTTTTCACAGAACAAAGTAATGAGCACTGAGTGAAGTATATATGACTTCAAGAATACTAAATATCTAAGTTTGGGAAAAAAAGTAATTGAAATAGGTCACTCTGTGCCAATGTAGATCAAACACTTAGTTTTTTGGCTTAATTTCTTTTTCACCGATTGCGTATTTATTCTACAGCAGTGGTGATGGATGTTTTTGTTTTTTTTGTTTGTTTGTTTTTACTTCTTGTATTTAGTTTGTTTATTTTGGCCAAAAGTGAATCAGGATATTTTAATAACTAGGCTGAATCAAGAAAACCAAGTGTTGAGATGTGGCTTAGTATTTTTTTAAACACAGATGTATTCTACAAGTCACCTGTGTCGATTGCTAGTAGTCACAGAGCAGGTACAAAGGTACATAGACAGGATCCCTGTGTCTCATTTGGTCTGGAAATTTAAAAAAGGAACTGTAAAAGTCACCCAAAATCTCAGCCACAATCTGGTGAGCTCTGCATCAACCCAGAACCAGTCCTCAAAGTGCAAGGGGTATGGTGGCATCCGACACCAACTAAGAGACGACCATACAGAAATACATGGATACATGGGACCCCCTTTGCCTCACTGTACTTCACACCATGCAATTGCCTCTTGATGCCTCCTTTTCTTCCTTGTTCATTCCCACATTTTTCCCCTGTCTCAGGCTCTCTGAACTCACTCTTTCTCTCCCCAACAGAGATCAATCAGAAAACATCAGATAAACTCCCTTGCTCTTGGAAGACAGTTCATGAGGAATTCTAAGGTATTTACCACGACCTATGGAATGCCAGACACCAGAAAGGTGGGTGAGAAATTAAACTAATTAGGAAACTAACATTTTAATCACAGAGGAAAAGTCAGCATGGCCCAGAGACTTGGACTCAATAGACATCTGTTTGATTACTGCATTAACTCATTACTTTCCTAAAGTTCAGGTGCTTACCTCTGTTTCAGACAAAGGATCCAATAAGGCATTATGACCTCAAAGGCAGAAGGGATATACACCATCCATATGTTTTTTGGGGTTTTGGTTTCCTAGGGGTTTTTGGGGAAGAAATGTCCAACATCTTCCCCATATATGGGAGCCAGAGCATCACTAGCAAACATTCTGTTAAGAGAGGATTTATGCGAGTGTTCTCTTTCAGCTACCAAATTTTGGTGAAGGATTCTCTCATTTCTGGAGAAAGGGGCCCCTCCAGTGTAGGGCAGTTCCTAAAACAAAGCAGGAAGCCATACTGGGGATGACCAGAGAGGGGCGAGAGGGCAGCTGGCTTGAGAAGACGGGCCCCACCCCGAGGTGGCAGCTGCTGGTTGCCAGGCAAGAATGCAGAATCAGTGTTGCTGGATCTTCCCAAAAGCCAGAGAATGGGCTTTTTATGTAAAATCTCCTGAATTTAGATGTTGGCTTGAAGATAATAATATGCTGTTAAAGATAAACCAAATCTATCTGTGGGCCCTATTTCAGCCATAGGCTACCCATTTGCCAACTCCGGTTATTCAAAAGCCAACACGTGGTAAGACAGAGGCTGTCTTGAAAGCAGTTGTCACCTCACTCACTCCTCTCAAAAATCCCTCCCGGCTCATTTGACCCCCATGGATTCCTTGCCTATCAACAAAGGGAAAACCTATTTCTTGAAGAAATGCCTTTTTCAATGGTGCATGAGAAAATCTGAAATACATTCCCCTGAACTTGTGATGTTGCTTTTCTGGATAAAAATCTTCTCTCGACGATAAAAGAAGCAGTCATTTTTACCTGTTTCCCATGTTTATGCTTATTTTATAGTAAACACTGTGTCAATTCTGTATCTAAGTGTTCAAAAGTAACTAGGATTTTTCAATCGCCATTTATAACTGCAACTAAGAACTTTCCTTCTGCATAAGCTTTGCCTATCCGAACTAAATATTCAGTGATTTCTTTTTTTACTCTAATGCTCTTAATTAGATTTATAGACTCTTTGTAGTGTTTTATGTTGGTGAGGAACTTAGGATACAACACACACTAATAAAATATCCCCACTCCCCAGATTGTGCTCTTCCATGTTTGATTTGAGTGAATAATGAGTCCTAAATAACGTTCTGAATCTGTTGTTGTGAGCGTGCTAAAGAAATGGGGACCGATGATATGTCAGGAACCGTTAATAAACCGACAAGCACACGGAATTGGTGACTGAGAGGGAGTGATTCATTGGGCCATAAACCATTAAAGAATTTGGGTCACGAATGCCCGCCGAAATACAAATGTCTTCAGAAAGCAGCAGCCACACGTTCTCATTTTTAAATTCCCTTTCTCTGACTTTCAGCTTGCCTAAATGTTTTAAAATTGAAGGTAATCGTTGTATAACATCCTCCATCCTGAGGTAAAGAAATGTACTCTACATAGTTCCCTTTTCACATGACACAGCCATTTTCATGGTTATAGCTAATTAGCTTCCTTTCGACATTAGATACAGAGGATGTTTAAGCAACGTAAACTAGCTGTCATCCAGCGGCATCATAATCAAAATGGCATAAAATTTGCCATAAAACCTGCAGCTAATAACATTTATAAGGCACCTTATTACATAAGGATATTGAGGAAGCTCAGACACTGTATATCACAATGCTTCCCCAGGGACCTGGTTCATTTTCCTAATGACTGTGCATGGGTTTACTTTAGGAGCTTCATGCACATGCCTGAGCGCCGAGCTTACCCAGCCAGATGGATAAGAATGGAGGGAGAGTGACAAGCAAAGGCAGCAACCAAGTATCGGGTCTATCTGAAAATGAGCCAGCAGCATGGCCATCTTTGTCATTCTCCAGCCCAGCCTTCTCACTATTTCATGGCCATACTCGTTTTAATTTAAGATGCTTGTACTTGTCCCACACTTGACAGACTTGGACGTTTTCTCCTCCGTGCCTTACTCCTGTAGCTCTTGTGCTCCAAGACTATCCTCAAGCGTGTTTCTTCCACGGAGCTTTCCTTGATGCCTCTAATCCACATTGATCTGTATCTCGAGGGTTTTTAAAAAGACTTTGTTTATTTTTAGAGAGAGAGGAAGGGAGGGAGAAAGAGAGAAAGAGAAACATTCATATGAAAGAGAAACATCCATTGGTTGCCTCTCATATAGGTTCTGAATGGGGACCAAACCCACAACCCGGGCATGTGCCCTGACCAGGAATCAAACCTGTGACCTTCAGCTTTGGGCTGCCTTTGAGTTTTAATTGTTTTTGTTATCTGCCCTGCATAATATATTCATTCCTACCTGTCTTTTTCAATGAACTAACAAACGCTGGAAGTACATTAAGACCACGTGTTTCGTCATGAAATGATATTTGATGACCAGTCCTGTTTGGAACTTCGTTTTCCTTTGTTGGCCTGTGCCTGGGTCTTTGCCCATGGTTCAGTGCATTCACACCATTTCCGACTTCCTAACATGACTCCTGCCATTCCGCAGGGCTGTACCTTATTTCTGGAGTCCCTTGTGCTGCCTTGCATAGACCTTCCGAAGGACAACTCCTTCATGGGTTACGAAAAATGACTGTCACCTAGAATCCCTAATTCCATTCCCACCCAGCCATATCTCCTACAGCAATTTGAATGGCAGGTATAATCTACATGGCAATGATTTTTTCACTCCTCCCTTGGTGTGGCAGGGGAGTAAGACCAGCCCATCTGAATGCCAGATAACTTAGATCCTGTCAGCTGTGATAATCAGTTTAGCTTATTGCCTATCATGCAATTTAAACATTATGTTATACCCTAGCCAATTTGCTGATTATGCCATGTAGAAAGCTTGCCTTTTATTTCTAACTAAATTATAAGCTTCTTATGAAGAAAGACCCTGTCATTACACTTTATCAAAGCTTTAATGTGTTCTCTAGTTCTAGGCATGTGGTAGTGCTCATACATTCATTAATGATTATCTTCCCCAAACACTTGTACACAGTATGATTCTGAAGCAATGAAGACATCACTCTATCACCTAATAAAATCTGTCTACCCACTAATGGGGAAAGCACCATAGCTACTGTTTATACTAGACATATTTCAAATCCATCCTAAACCTTCCTTTTCCTACCATGCTCTCTGTCTTTGTACTTAAAATTTGATTCTATACATCATTCAATCAGTTTATAATTTCTGGATTCATTTCCCAATCTTCTTATTCTCTCTTGCTTCTTGATTCTTCATTTAAAGGATCTTTCTGGTGGCAAATATTCTATGCTTGATTCTGAAGTAACTTCTTGTGAACTGCCCAGAACACAACCTGGTTAAATGTGGCCTTTTATCTTGGAATCCTTTTCTTCTCCCACCGCTGGGTGACTGCCTTGCAAAAATCATGTTCTTTCCCACCCTCTGGTACTGCTCACACTCTTACCTTTGCCCATCACAGGCCCATCTCTATGCTTCCCTAGCAGACACCTTGTTTCCCCCATCCAATATATAAATATGGATAAAGATAAATAAATATGACATAAATCATTAAGTGACTTCAAATATTATACTCAATGGTAATGCAAAGTATTATGATGGAAAATTTGAAAAGATGGTGAAAATTGGTTTCCATGCAATTAATTTTCAATGTTACAGATCACAAAATGCCAAAAACATGCCAGCAGCAGGAAAGCACCATTGTATTGTCCCTCCTATTTGTTAAAGGAGTTTGTGCATTATGGACTATAAATTATTATGGTGAAGGAATGGGAAGCATTGAGAGGAGATTGCATTGCAGTATAGCATGCAGATATGTACGCCATATTTATGGAAGCCTTGAAATTTTTACAGAGTCCTTGAATATCAATTGGTCAAAGATGTTTCCTGAGACTAAGTTAGCTATAGAACAATTGAGATGGCTTCAGCAAGGAAATTGATCTCTACATCTTAGAAAGCAAGGATACATTTTATATCTGGCAGTCATACAAACAAACGTATAAGTGCTGTGAACCATTCTAGGGAAATTCTTTGCCCTTATCAAGCTTACCTTTTAATGCAATCAAAGAGTTGACAATACACAAGTAAATAGAATATATAGTATGGTAGATGCTGATAAGGTTAGAAGAGAGCTAAAACAGGGTTAGGGATTGCCTGACAAGCCTGGGTGCACTAATTCAAGTAAAAAGGTCCAGATGGGTTTTACTGATGTTGTGTTATCGAGCTCTCAGAAAAGGATGTGAAGAAGAGAGCCATTAGGATATCTGGAGAAAGCATCCTCCAGGCACAGGAAAAAGCCAGTGAAAGGGATATATTTTAGCTTTATCAGACAATACCAGGATCCTTGTGATGTTTGTGGCCACAAGTTTAAAGTGGTGTCAGTCAGCATGGTTATGTTTTTTGTTTGTTTTGTTTTGGGCTCTAGGATTCAGAATAGGTAGGGGTGAAATTTAACAAAGTTTAGTATTTTTTCCCAAGTGAATATAATAAGGAAAAAGAGGCTAGAGAGAGTTTAGAGTTACAGTAAACAAGGAACTAATACTAAAGATGGAATCTCAAGGATTGAAGGAAATGAAGTTATGGAGAAAGAGTGAGGGACACTGGAAGGGTGACAGGATCAATCACAGGTCCTTGTGCAGCCAAAAGCCTATAAAGTCTGATGTTTTGCCCTGGCTGATGCAGCTCAGTGCATTGAGTGCTGGCCTGCAAACCAAAGGGTCATTGGTTCGATTCCCAGTCAGGGCACAAGCCTGGGTTGCAGGCCAGGTCCCCAGCATGAGAGGCAACCACACATTGATGTTTCCCTCTCTTTCTCCTTCCCTTCTCTTCTCTCTAAAAATAAATAAATAATATCTTAAAAAATAAAATAAAATCTCTTGTTTAGAGTGAAA